AACCCGGGCCGCACGCATGCCAGGCAAGCGCGCTACCGCTTGAGCCACATCCCCAGCCCTGTCCTCAGCTCTATAAGAAATATTTCTTAACATTTCATCATGAAATGTGTGTCATGTACACTGTGGTTTTTGTTAGATATTATTAAGTAAACAGAAATTTCCTTCTCCTTGTTTGTTGTTGTTTTTTTTTTCTATTAAATATGAGTAAGAATTGAGCTTTACCAAATACTCCTCTATATCTACGAAAATAATCATAATAGATTTTTCTACAGATCATTAATGTGATCAATTAAGAAAATTTCTATCGTTATAGCATCCCCAGTTCCTGGCACAAATTCTATCTACATGTCTATGGTGCATTATTATTTTTACAGTTAAATTCAGTTTCCTAGTATTATATTTCAAATTTTTGCAAATATATTGTTAAGATTATATTGGCCTATAATTTTTCCTTTAGTTCATATGTCTTTGGAATAAAGATTGAATTCCAAAGAAATCAGAGAGCTTTGCTTTCTTTTTCTAATTGTTGGAACAATTTATATAAGTCTGATCTTGTATACCTGGTGAAGTGTTCATAGCATAATTTTTGACAATTCAAATTTAATAGATCTCTTCAGGTTTTCTATACCCTGAGTCAATTTTAGTCAGTTGTATTAATTATTGATAATTTGTATTTCATAAGAGATCTAGTTCTTCTTAGTTTTTATTTTAATAGAAAGTAAAGCCCACTTTCTATCTTAGTTTTAAAATCTAGTAGTAATAGTAATAAAAGCTGGGTCACACTGGTCAAGAAAAAAAGAGATTCTAAGCCAGGTGCAGTGGCACATGGCTGTAATCCCAGTGACTCAGGAGACTGAGGCAGGAGGATCTCCAGTTCAAAACCAGACTCAGCAATTTAGCAAGGCCCTAAGCAACTTAGTGAGACCCTGATTCTAAATAAAAAATAAAAATGGATGGGGATGTGACTCAGTGGTTGAGTGCCCCTGGGTCGAATCTCTTATACAAAAAAAAAAAAATACACATATATGTATATATAGATATGAATATATGTATACACATACACAGACACACACAGACCAGACTGGGGTGGGAAATATGGATTATAGGACAGGCTGCACTTTAGGTAAGTTTCTTATAACTTTTTGAGTGGCTGTACTCAAAATAATAATGACTATTAGAACAAAATAAACTTGTGGAAGACTTTTATCCTTTTAAGAATTTTAACTAAGGGTACAAAAATATGCTTATCAATTCTACAGACAATAACAAAGATGGGGTATCAGCTAATATAGCAGATGATGCAACTGACCCTCAAAGAGAAGTGATCAGGATTTGGGGGGTGTATCTCAGTAGTAGAGCATATGTAAGTAATGTGTGAGTCCCTGGGTTAAATCCCTAGAGCACGTCTGTGCATGCATACACATGCATTCACACTCACACACACACACACACCCCACACACACACACAGAGAATAGACACAAGAGCAAGCTAGAAAGATGTGTGGCAATGAATTATAAGTTAAAGGTAATCATAAAGGCTTATACTTAAGTCTTAAAAAATTAGTCCTACAAGATCAGGGGTTAGCAAACTACTGCTTTTAAGTCAAATCTAGCTTGCCACCTATTTTTTTTTTATGATCATGAATAGTTTTATTAGAACATGGCTGTTCTCATTCTTTTACATATTGTCTATGATTACTTTTGTGCTATAGTACAGCTGAATACCTGTGACAGACTATAAGACCAATAAAGACTAAAATAATGTTTGGCCCTTTAAAAAAAGTTTGCTGATCCTTGATTAAGATGTATAAAACTTATTGGCTTCATTGATCATAAAGTCAATGACAATAACAGTGTACTATATCTATCTCCAAAGGTAAAGAAATGCTATCTTCAATTATTGAATAGGGCTTGAGGATGCAGCTCAGTGGCAGAGCCTTTGCCTAGCACATGAGCCCTTGGTTTGATCCTCAGCATTGTCAAAAAAAAAAAAAAAAAAGGTAAGGAAATACTATATTCGGTCAAAATTTCTGAATACAAGCTAAGGCCCTTTTAAACCAAGGGCCAGGCACCATGCTAGTAATGAAAAGATGCATACAACCTAAGTTACCGAGACTTGTCTGTCTTCAAGCTGAGTCAAGGAAGATGGACAAATATGCAATTAATAATACAATGCCATGTTCTAATATAGTGTGACCCACACAGAATAGTTATTCTATATGTGAGAAGAGTTTGGGTTTTTTTTTTTGGTACTGGAGACTAAACACAGGACATTTTACCACTGAGTTCCTCAGCCCTTTCTTTTTTGAGATAGTCATGCTAAATTGTGGAAGCTGACCTTGATCCCGTCATCCTCCTGCCTCAGCCTCCTGACTCTCTGGGATTACCCTTGTGATGGACTTGTTTCCTTAAAAAAAAAAAAACTTAATTCAACTTTTACTATCTGAATTCATTTGAATGTGTTCAAACAAGTGAACATAGTAAAGCGTGTATTCTTCATTTCTTATGTAGACCAAAATGTACAAGGAATTATATTTATGAATTAGAAAAGAGTTACATTTTAGGAAAATGCATCTGGAATTCACATGTATATTAAGTAGATAAATGGGATAGGGTGTATTCTTCAAATGTTCAGTTCTTTGCTTACTCCACATTCTTAATTATCTAAGTTGTCTGAAGGAAGCAAACAATATCCTTTGATTCCCTGTTTTGGAAAAATTGCTTAAATAACAAGAAAGAAAGGGAGGGGGCTGAGTTCCCTTTAAGTTTCTTTTGTTACAATTCAGGAGAAAGACAAACCAATTCCAAAAAACCCTCAAGGAACAACAGTATGTTGTTCTCCCAATTCCACGGTGCAGGTTTAAGATCTCCATACTGAGATGCCTTGCTCTAAATAAACACGTATTTCTTCAGGGCCTCAGTTCACCGAATGTGGGAGGTGCACTCCAGGATGCCATCCTTCTCATTTTTATAATCGCTAACTTTGGACTTCCCTGCTTTACCCTAAACCTTGGCAACTGGTTTCACCTGGAGTTTCACATGCCCTTTCCGTGCATCCAGTCTCCCGGAGGCCAGGACCTGTTGCTAGAAAGGCAGGAATCAGCCCTGGACACAAAGCTCACATCCATCCCAAGCCTCTGACTCAGTCCCTTCCCAGGTGACATAAAATACATTAATTGAGCCCGCCTTGATAGTAAATACAATTTATAACTACATGGGTTATGTTGCAGCTACATTTTAAGTTTAGGCAGATTCATTAACTTCGATTTGCAATCAGTTTTCCCTTTGGGAGCCAAAGCACTACTTCAAACCTCAAAAAGGTCCGCCCCGGGCCAAGCGGGGAGCACAGGCCGGCGTCAGACGCCTTCAGGAGGCTACCCCTCAGCGCCGCCCGCCACACTCCCGCACCTTCCACGCCGCGACTCCGCACCAACCCCCCCGAGCTCGCTCCCTTCGCGCCAGCATCCCTTCCGTCCGCCTAGCCCGCCAGACTCCCACCTCCCCCGGTGCCGGCCTACTCCACCCCGCTGACTCGCTCGCCTGGGCCTCAAGGTAGCTCCGGGCGTACCGATGGTCCCGCTTGGGATTTCCCCCGCGCCCAGCTCGGGGCGCCCCGGCGGAGTCCCGGCCACGCGCTCAGCACTACTCAAAGCGCCCCACCCGTCAGCTTCCCTGCAAACTCGCCGGCCCAGCTGCGTAATCCCGCCCGAGCGCCTTTCCCCAGGCCTAACCTCCCCTAGCTCAGCTCGGCTCAGCCCAGCTGGCCCGCAGGACCGCAGGACCCAGGAGACCGGCCCTCACGCGGGCACGCACGCGCAGTGCCCAGCCCTGCCGGCTCCCAGCCCCAAGCCCTCAGGTCGCTAGCCCGGCTTCCAGGCCCAGCCCCGCCTCCAGGCCGGCCCCGCCCCTTATGCCGGCCCCGCGCACGCGCGCCTCCATGGCCCAGCCCTCCCCCCGCCCCGCCGGTCCCGCGGTCCCACGGCGCCAGGTCGCCCCCAGCCCCCTCCCTCCTGCCACCCTCTCTGTTTCCCACCCTCGTCAGCGTTGTGCCCAGTGTGTCGAGCCGCCTTCCTCGTCAGCCGCGCCACGGAAGGAAGGAGCCGCCGCCGAGGTGCTGCCGCTCGCTGCCCCAGGCAGGGGCACAGGTAGG